TAATATGTAAGGGCACCTTAATGTGTGGCATTTAAACGTTTGAAAAAAATATTCTTTTTATAGTATTCTTATGTATGATTTTGTGTACTTTACAGGGTAAAATATATTGTATTATGACTTATTTAACATACCATTAATTATCTTAAGAGGCACAGTATTTAGACCTGTCACACATTTGTTTGATAATGTTTTAATTATGCATTAAGAGCATGTGAGATGTTAAGCTACTGAAGAAAGAAGCGCTGAATGTGCAGTTATGTGTCAGAAAAGTAGCAAAATACATCCATAATAATTTCAAATTGACTAAAAGCAAAAAAAAAGCAAACGATAATTCATGAATGTGGCAAATTGGTATATTTTGAAACTTTAACAATATTTTTAAAAAAAATTGAGAAATAAAAATGATAGCATTAATGAGGCATACTGGGCCTTTAAGCGCACCTTGTTCAGTAATTGTATCCTATCCGTACAATTAACTTGGTAAGGTATGATGTGCTGGAATCAGTTTGTCTGTCTGTCCGGTCGTAAAGGTATTGTCCTGAGCATAACGAATTAACAACTAGAAATTCTTAGATATCTACTTTTTTATTTAGAAGAAGTGTAGCTTTATTCAAAACGTAAGAATGTATCAAAATAGTATTTAATAGGTAAAACTTTAGTCTCTTAACTTTCTTTTGAATAATTTTGGAGTTATGTAATTGCTCTTTGTAATTTTAATGAAAAGCTGTATATAAAGGGTAAAGAAACAGCATTTTATCATCAACATGGGAAACTTTACAGATGGATAAATCTTATTGAATTAGGTGCAATGCTTAAAATCATGACTTTCGGGTGCATAATTTGAGTTATTGCCCTTTGTATTTTATACACTTTTTGGAAGTACATGTATCAGTAGAGTCTTGTTAGTCTGTATTTAGGAGAAGTATAGTAGTCAAGAACCTTGATTCTATTTTTACATATTTTTGAGTTATTGTCCTTGGTAATAGTAATTATAAATTATTTAAATGCTCTAAATCATCTAAGTACATAGTTTTAGAGTTGTGTGACCTTTGTATTTTGTTTGAGTTAATGTCTAGTTTGTAATTGTAATATACATTTTTATAATTAAAAGTTTCATTTTATGATCAAGTTAAATTCAAACTATTCATTCGAAATTTAATAAAATGATTACTAAATGATTGAAAAGCCTGACCAATTATAAACGTATCTATTATTTAAATGTCCAAGAATAAAGAAAACACTTATTTCAAGATATGTTCATAGATAAAGGGAGATAAATATATATTGTGTCTTTTTTTGTTATAATGATTATAATGCATGTACTGTTTATAAGCAATAAGGATATGTTTATAACATATTGTATTGTTTAAGAATTATTTTTTGACATGTATTTTATGAAAATAAAACTGTGTAACATCATTGATTGTTAGTCCTCATTTATTCCCGTAATACCTGTACGTTCTAAGGTGTAATTTTAGTATATATTTCTGCAGCTGTTAACGATAATCAGAATAACGCATTCGAATTTCTTCACAATTAACTTTTAACTTACATTTTACAACATTTCGGTTTGTCCGGGTTTCTTTTATCAGTTAATAGAACATTGCCATAGTTACTAATTGTGCAATTAAGATCTAAGGTTTATTTTATCATGAAGGTGCGAAGGAATCAATAACAAAATCTGAACAGGCAACTTTATTTTGAAAGAACGATATATATTTTTACAACCAAAAATGATAACTACCTCATGGCGATTTCTAACCATAATAACAAAACCAAACAAAAAATAAAAGTACCAAAATACAAGAATCACAACAAACTGGCCGGTCCGAAAAAATGTGGAATTGTGAGAGCCTATAAATGACCTCAGGTCGACCTCAGGGTAACGTGTAACCAACGCTGAAAAGCCCTTTCACGCTACCTCAATCCATTGAGAAGTTACAGCACTTTGGAATCAGCTTTGATGGAAAAATCAAAGCAAAATAGTAATTTCTCGCAATTGTGAGATGTCCCCTCGTTGCCATGGTAACAGGAAATTTAAGAGTATGTCGTTGCAAAGGCTATGGTCCAGTCAACATTTGTGCCAAGTTTTTACAGTATTGAAGCCTTTTTTACAGTTTCATAGCAATTTGAACTTGTAAAAGGAAGCTTTTCAATGAAAACAGCTATTTTTCACAAAATGCTCATGAAGTAATTGGTTAATGAAAAAATGCCACAAAACAACATTGTTTCTTCAAAATTATGTGTAAGGCCATAAAGGTATCAAGGATCAAAACAAACAACCTGGTAGCATTATACGAATAAACTAAAATCTAAATAAACAAGCTGGTCGTAGTACATAGGTACGAAGAAACAAGAACCAAAATTAAATAAGCTGGTCGCATGATAAAGGTACGAAGAAACAAGAATCAAAACAAAAAGGCTGATCGCATTATAAAGGTACGAGGAAAAAAAAGCAAAACAAACAAACTGGTTTCATTATAAAAGTATCAAGGAACAAGAATCGAAACAAACAAGCTGGTCACATTAAATAAAAACCCAGATGTAAGAAACGAACCAAAATGTTGTCCACAACTGTACACCTACATATCAGAACCATAAAAAGATGATTGAACTCTGAAGTACTTAGATAAAAGAATCCTTACAAACAACCTGGCCGCACTATTATAGTTCCTTGATATAGGGAGTATTAAAAACTAGCTGGCAGCAATATCAAAACCCCCAGATATTATAAATCAATTAGAAACAACCTGACCCCCTTTGAAAGTTCTTAGATATAACAACCATAACAAACAACCTGGTCAAAAACAACCATCATAATTAACCTGGCCGCATTATAAAACAACTAAGATTAAAAACCATTACAAAAAACCTAGCTGCACTATGAATGTTACTAGATATAAATCCATTACAAACAAACTGGTCAAATTTGTGGTCAGGTTTTCCGTCCCCCAAAAAAGTTTAGGAAGACCTTATGTAGCTCTCTGTACATAAGGCTTAAACGGACACCATTGTTTAACCACCGACGTTCCGTTAGCTTGAAGGAAAGCTTTCTATAGAATTCGACAACATTTGAGCGACTCGAACCTAAAGCGGTTCAAGGAAAGTGGTTGGAACTCGACCAGGGTCGCCCTTACTGGCCACACTATCACAATTACATGGCATAAATCAATTACAAACAAGCTGGCCGCACAATGGTTGTTCCTTGAAATTTGCGACATTTTAAAAGATCCCAGAGATAAGAATTGTTACATACAAGCTGAATACTCATTAAAGGTATAAAAATATATGAATCATGGCAAACATACTTGACGCACAACAACAGCAAAACATGACTAACAAGCCGGCCGCACTATAAAAGTATCTTGATATCAGAACCGAATCAAATAAGTTGTCTTCTCTAATAATATAATACATATATAAAAAAGATCGAAGTTTGGATCTATCTTCAAAGAAGACCACGCACAAAATTAACTGTACAGTTCCTCGGGTGTTACTTTAGATGAGTATAAACTATAAGATGTGTCAAATAATGAACATGCAATATACAACAACGAAAATACCAATGAGGCCACTTTAAATTATTAAAAACTTTACAAATCAGCATGTTTGATTCGTAAAGACGTGTGGAAATCATGTGAACATAGGTTTTAAATAGAATTAGAGCAAATTAGATAGTTTTGTTTATTGCATTTAAATAAAAGTTTCACTCTATAAATGTCTTAACTTGAGCATTAATGAAGACAATTGTAGTTACTCAGTTAAAAATGGCGACATGTGACAACAGGTGTTCATAATTTTGTAATTTTTAAGAGGTGGACATTTAACACATAACACGCTAAATTGATACTTGTAAAATGGATTAGCTCTACTTGAAATTTGGAATTGTCTATTTAAAGGCTTAGTGAATTGCCGATGTCATACAGGATGGTCTGGCTTGGCTCTTGAATGGTGGCGAAGGCTCACCAATTTCGGTTCAAGCTGATTAAATGTAAATAAAAGATCCATATTAATTAATTGTAATAGGCACTCGTGGAGCAGGACCAAAGATGGCGGTTTATCTTATTGCTTTTCCGATTTTTAAAATACCTTTTTGTCTTTATTTAACCGTCAGAATCGGCTTGTTTTAACTAACAGATCGTTTGAAATTGAGAATTACAATTAAATAGAGGATATTCAAGTTTTTTTTCCATAATATATGAATTATTTTCATGGAGTGGTATGAAAATAAATATTTCATGAGTGGCGGTAGCCACGAGTGAATATTATAATTTTAATGCCACAAGATGAAAATAAATCATGTATTTATAGATAAAACTTGTTTTTAAATTTTCTGTTTATTATATAATATTACATTTTCCTCTTTTTCGACATTACAGTTTGAAAGACATTCCCTTAAATTGCAGAATTTAGAAGAGAGAAGTCTGGCAAGACACGAGTGAAAATACGGAATAAATTTTTACAGTGAAAATATGGAAAATGAAAATATGCATTTTATTTCATCAATACTTCTCAATATTTTATTTATAAGTATATAATAAAATACATTAACATGGTGGGATTAATAAAATCATTAAACAAAATAGTAATTGTATAGTCCCCAAACAAAGCCCACTTTGAACAGAGTTCCCCTTGGTGACCTTGTTGACAAGTTTGACTGTATATTCTAAGAGCTCGTACAGACGGATCGGATAAAACAAAGATATATTGATATAGGAGAAATACTTTATAAAGCGTATTTGGTAACACTGTTATATTTGAGGTACCGTCCGAAATGACAGTACACTTTGATATTTTGAAAATAGAATTTTTCTGTATCAATTCAGTGGTGTTCTCTTTACAAAGCATATACAAAAGATATCTTTGTTACTTATTTTTAGGAATATAACTTACTGCAAGTTAAAAGACTTAAAATTATTACCAGATATATTTGTTTTCTGAATGATATGGTATCATTCCAAGAATTATCTTCATAAGAGATAAAAAAAAGAAACAACACAAAAAACATAATATTTAATATCTTACAAACAAATAAGCATACTGTTTAAAGAAATTTATCATAATAATTATACAAAGTAAGAAAATTGTGCAAATAAAACAACGATGCCTGCGAACCATTATGTCATATACCAAAGATTGTTCTATGCTTTACAAAAATCAACAGATAAAAGGATCTCTTATTTTCATAATAGATACTTGATTAAAACTATTGTTAAATGATATAAAAAATATTATAAAAGTGGCACGCCTTATACATTTATATCACGTGATACATCAGTGTATCGAGTCTACAAAAAGTACGAGAGACGGGACATCCTTTACATCATATGGTATTTTGTGTATTAAGTCAGCAAAAAGAACGACTATGTCCTTTGGTATCATATGTAAAAAATGAACAAAAATTTGAAAAAAGACATCCCATATATATCATATAACATTGTAGTAAGTTAACAAAAAATATATGAAAAACGACACGATTTAAAGAAGCCGTGACATTTTGTATACAGAGTCTACAAAAATATGAGAAACTATCCGACATATTAAGACCGTGATAGTTTAAAGAGTTTACAAAAATTGAGAAACGGCCCGACTTATCAATTCTGTGACACTTTGTATATAAAGATATGAGTAACGACACTATTGCAATGTATATCATAACATCATATAAAATGAGAATATACAATAACTAATGACCAAGGCCCATGAAGACGTCATGTTGATACTTATCCATTTAACGTCACCTTGAAATTTTGAAAACGCCCTCTCACGTGACAAAATGCTAAAAAATAGGTACAAAAGGCGAGAACAACTCCGGGGTATTACGAAAATATCCGCAATAAGTCAATATTTACTTATTCGTTAAGATATATGAAGTTGCGTACTTCTCTGCTTATCCCATTAAGCATTACATACACATCTTTGATTTTATAAATATCTACTATGCAATATTACATAGAAGGCCCATTATACCTCAGAAATGCTCCTTTTTTATTTCTCCAAAGCTTTTAATGCTTGGTGTTCAGCTATTGTTTCCGAAAAGTAACTCATTGGCTAAGTACCTGAAAAATCTATTTCATCTGTTGCTGTTTGGCAATTAGTACAGTTTGGAGGTCATTTTGCTATTCATATAACAAAGTATTTCACAATTATCGTAACGTTCTTCATGGGATAAGCATCTCACTTATTTCAACGTTGAAATATTCATGTGTGCCCTTTCTAAAGAAGTAAAGATTTATTCATTCTGAGACATGATGTGCCTTTATCAAATCAACAATGTGTAGTGTTCTATATGAAATAAAAATAATATCTGTTGTATGTACATAATGGTTTAAACATAACTCACTCGATATATTATATACAAATAATTGTGTTGATATTTTAATAAGATACAAACAAAATATTTTTGTTGTTGCGTTATCACATTGTAAAATGTTCAACATCACTACGGATTGTAAAAATTACATGAGCTATTTATTCATATTGGACACATCGGATTGTTATACATAGTGTTTGCACAAATAATGTACTTAAATTAATTGTTTTCATTCTGGGTATGACATAGACACATGTTTTCAATGATGTTTCTCTTCTTTTCTTTTCTTTCGGAATTAAGTAATCCTTTTATTAGTCGCAAGGATACCAACATTAAATCTCCACAGAAGATATCATCTCTTTCGATATAATGGAAACATTTGTACTAGCTAGTATATTTGGAATATTTGTACATTGTCAGTGTGTGCGTTTCTTTCATTGATCATGAAAATAAAAAGTGTAGACGAGAAAAAAATGCCTCTTTTTTATTCTTACAAAAGGAACCAAATACTATTTTCTCAAACAGTTAGTTGTTATTGACACAACCGATCAAGGAGTTCTATGAAAGTTTTACTCTTCAAAATTACTCATTGAAGATATTTCTATAAGTGTATCTTGCCTGGAAGAATGATAGTCCGGTGGGGGCGATGGCTTCTTGGAAGTTTTACTTGTTCTTGATAACAATGAGCCGGCTAAAGATGCTCTTGATGCCGACAGCTCTTCTGGTAATTCGGTCAGGAAAAACGAGCCATTCATTGAGCTTTCTTCGGAATTATCACCCATTTCAAAACGTGCACGCTTCAAGCTGGAGTTTCGTCTGACGCGTGCATCTGGTTTAACTTTGTTCAGGAATGGCGGTGGTTGCATTTGCCGTATTGTGTGCGCAATGGGCGGTTGTTGTTCGAAAGATATATTTGTCGGCGGGAAAAACATGGCGTGCTCAGAGGAACGTTTTACAGTGACACCACTATGAAGAACTGGTCTGGGATGTTCCGCTGGAGTGATCGGCCGCTGGAAAGATGATGTTGGCCTGTATGCTTCCGTAATGTCTGAAGGCAAAGGCATCGGGTGGTCCGATGTAGACATGAAATTTGATTTTGGTTTTGCAGCATATGGTGCAGCAATAGTCTCCCTGGCTGACACAGCCTCTGTTGTCGGCTGCGGATGCGTTCTCTGTGGAGCCCCAGCAGTTGCCGGTCGAAGCAGATTTGACGTTGTCGTCGATCGTCGCGTAGTATTTGCATCTTCTCTTATAGTAACAGATTTTCGGCCAGTAGTCATTCCCGTGTCCGGTCTAGGTTCGTCTGGAATCGAAACTTTCAGAGCTGACTTTGTAGGCAAAGGTAAGTTCTTTGGAAGAGGCCCACCTTTCGGTACTACATATCTAGAAGGCTTAGGATGAGGAGTGTCGTCGTCAATGTCTGTAGATCTTGGAGATCGACCCATTGTTGTTGCAGGGCGCGGCGAAGGAGTTCCAGTTGATGGCAAAGATCGCGGTGAAATTGCCGATGTTGAACGCGGTGATCTGTTTGTTAGCTTTGATATCATAACAGAACTTGCTTTAAATAGCTTAGCTGTCTTTGGTGCTTTTACTCTTGCACGTGACGACGCATCATCTGATCGAGTTGACTGAATGGCCGAACTTGCAGTTGACATTTTACGTCCTTTCCCCTTGGTGACGATTTTCTTTCCTGGTTGTTTCTTAAGTGACAACGGAGGAACAGGTGTTTCTTCTTGTACATAAGGAAACGGTATACCCTCTTCTTTCTCATTTTGCATCTTTCTAAAACCGTATTGACTTTTCAAAATGTCTGTCAAAGACATCGTGTCCGGTTTCCTATACATAAGTTGGGGTAATTTCTTTGGTATAGGTATGTTTACAGGAAGTGGTAAGTTTTTTCTACTTCGCCCATGCGCACTTTCTGTATAACCAAACTGCGATAATGGGTAGCTGTTCTGTAAATGTTTACGACCGGGTACGCGATACCGTACTGCGTGTTCTATTTTAGGGAAGTCAAATGTATCCTCTTGTGGATACTCATATGGGTTAACAAATGTACCATCCGCCCAAAGTGCGTAGGGGTCATAGTCAAACGGTCCCACGTGCTCGTCTTCTTTCCCCTTAAGTTCCTGGTTCGATATTTGCGAGGTTCGTCCTTCTTCCATTGTTTCTACTTCAGGTTTATCCCTTTTAACCGTGCCATTGGCTTGGTATTTTGTCTTTGCAATTACTGGATAACCCTTTTCGTCAAATCCAAGTACTTGTCGGCGTTTGAAGTAAACATTGTAGGCTATATCCGGAAAATCAGTGTAAAGGGAAATCCTATCGGCTTCCATGTCGTACTTTTCGCGATCCTTAGCGCTACGAAAAGAAAATTATTATGGTTTCACACAAACAATCTTAACTTTGAAACAATGATAGTTTTAATGAATAAGAAGTGGTACCAAAAAATTACATCTAGAAAAGACTGTTGACCTTATCGAATCTAAATGAAATAATTAACATCTATGTCAATATTTGTTAAACACAATATGATGTTATGAACTGCTGTACACAGAACGCAGGGCAGCATAGGAAAAATCAAGGGACATGATTAAATTAAAACATGGCTATTATAATTTAAGGAAGAAGATCTCAAGTGATACTTCGTGCATCATTTCAATCATGGACGGGTACTTGAGTAGAACTACTGATTTTCCGTAAGCTTGCTCAATAGCTTCATATAATAAAAGAATTCGAACCGACAAAGATTCGGTACTATATATTTTTTCTTGTTTAAATGGATGTATCTTCTTTAAAAAATGAACAGGTCTATGTTTTAAGTCATAATTTCATTCCAAATGAGTTGGATAGGTAGATAATTAAGACTAATGAAAAAGTGTGATGGTGTCAATTTCCTGACAATGTAGATACAATGACGGCACTTACCCCAAGTAGAATCTTCTAGCAATTAATGTGAGAAGGAAGACTACAATAAGACCTAGAACAACCACGACCACGACGATGATTATAGCTGCAAATGAAAAGATAACTAAAATTATGTTTAAATTGATCTCTTGTTTGATTTTTTAAAGATTTAAAATGACACCGTTGAGAACATTGAAAAACTTTCAGGCTTTTCCTAACTGTTTGTTTTGTTATTTATGTTTTACGGCACACTAACAGAGTTTAGGTAATATGGCCTGACACATTGCTGGTGATTTTGGTTAATCTCAGCTACTTATTATAAACTTTATCAAGCAACACCAGGATAATTCAAACTCATTAAATTGCCTCTTATGATCACGATGGCTTAAATTATGATGCCTCAATTCTTAAAGACAACCCAACAGCCAAAAAGCGACTTTTTTGATTGAGATAAACATGAACATATTTTTTTGTACATTTCGTAAATGATTACAAAAGTTTATAAAGACCATGAATACAGTTTATAAGAAAACATTTCAACGCTTATGATTGGAGTCGCAATATATCGGATATTTTCGAATTCAAAAACTGTTCGGTAAAAGAAGTGTATCACTTTCGATTTTCATTAGCATGTACCATAAAATGGTCGAATTTCTGAAAATTCTGTGCAAGTAATTGTATATTCATTCAAACTTAAAGTCATCACGGGTTTAAATAGTTTTTACTACATATATTCTGGCGTAAGGCACTTACTTGTCAGATCAGTAGCTTTCGGTTCTTCCGGTAAAGCTGCAAGACAAAAATATGTCGTAGAAAGATATTGCGAAATTAATTTTTATATCATTATCATGATTAAAATAAAGGCACAAAATGAAACGCCTTATGATTAAAAGACAACAGTGATATCAGACTCAGTTATTTCTCTTTACATGGTGCCCTTTGTCAGTTTTGGCATTTTTAAAAAACTCCTTTTTATAAATACAATCCTATATTTCGTCGTTTATACAACTTTTTCCATACCCCGTTTATCTACTACAAGTATGACCCCTTTATCTGTATATTTGCTCCATCCTTCTCTTTTGCCCTGCTTTCATTTATATACAAAACTGTTATAACAAACTTACATATACATTCGCTGGCACTTCTGGCACCGATGGTGTTTGTTGTTCCGCCACCAGGGCATACCGTGCATGTACTTTGCCCAACCATTGATTGGTAAGTTCCCCCGTTACAATAAACACAAAACCCGTTTGACTCATGGGTTCCTTTCTGACATTCGGCTGAAATTGATTGATCCCAAATTATAAGGTAAATATTCGCCAAATGCTCTAGTTATACTTTACCTGCCGTCTTGGGTTCTTTTTTCAAAATATATAAATCATGGCTTCAGGGTAAAAACTGGTTCAGTTAGTTAACATACACAGAAAACTATATATTTATCATCGTAAGAATAAAATTAGAAAATAAATGTCATAAAAGATAGATGTCATGTAGCATTGCAACGACAACTGCTTTCAAAGCGATGATAGTCCAATCTCATTAAAATCACATCATGACCGATGATCCACTGCGTAATGTAGAGATACTGATGATAGTAAAGCCTCTGAGACATCAACATCCCTGCTCTAGGTGTCTTTAAGTTTACTTAGACTTAATGTGCAGATGAATCAGCTTAACTTCTCTGGAACTAAATGTCCAAAACTTTAGATATTAGGCATGTAACACAGAAAACTGTCTTTAACATTTGGCTCGTAACATTACAATGTAGTCCTCTACACAAAAGAAAAAGAAAACCTAAAGATACAATAAAGTTCTAATAAATGAATGAATACTATGAATGTGTATAGTATATACCTACCACAGACAGCTCCAACAGCAACTTCGCCGCTATTACAGAGTGTGGTTGTCGTAACAACAACTGTGTTACCAATGATCGTGTAAGTAACACCATCTACTTCTGCTGTATACTGGCCCGGATCATCTAGGATATCTTGAATGGTTTGTTCAAGAACGGAAATTGAAGTAACGGCTTCTAGTAAACTCTCTGACACTGTAAGATTAAAGTTCACGATTATACAGTTTGCCTATATTTTTTTGTAAAAATCAATATTAATTGATAAATTGAGTAAACCGGTAATGCTTTGATATTTTAAAGATTTGAAGCATTTCTGTTTGAACTTATTCTTGTCCGATAAGATGGCAGTAATCTAACCGAATCTTAACGTAAATCGACTTTTATCAACAAGTCTAGTAAATCGGCTATTTATAAAAGTAATTATAAACTTCGAATTGGTTAGTTTGCAATAATAAGAATTTGCAAGCAAATTAAAATTAATAAATCAATTTTTCTACTTATGTTGCAGTAAAAACACGGAGAGCAATATAATTCCTAATGAAAGTCCAAAATAACAAAATATAAAATGTTGCAGGCTCGGTATGCCGTATCACCAGTTTATTAAACAGTTTTTAACATTGAAACATGAAATGGTGAAATATTGAATTTAGAGAAATGTGTAGATTTGTTTCTTATACGATGTCAACACGGCAAACTGTTAGATAACACCCGTTCATGCAGATAAACGTCAACGTCTCTTGGGTTCATTTTGTATATTTTACAATGTACACAGTCCATGCCTATTCGCATAAATTTCGAATTATAAACAATTAACCAACTCTAAACCTCTTTAATAATGAACCCAGTTGGTGCATACTAGGATCAGCCTCTGTACATTATGAACACATCCTTAGCCTTTCTTGGTTACATTGTCTATAAGACGAAGGACATAGTCTACGCCTCATTGGGCTACTTAATCTATTAGACAATAACGCAGTCCACACCTCTTCGGTTTACATCATCCATTAACGAAAGGAAGCAACCTACGACAGTTTGGCCACTTCGTCAATAAGACGAAGATCATAGGAGTCTATTCAACAAAAGAGCAGTTAGCGCTGTTTCTGATCAATCGTCAACCCGTCGGGCGACTTCGTCTATAAAACAAAGAACACAATCCATTCCTCATGGGGCAACTTCGTCTTTTAGACAGTGTACGAAGTTTATCTTTTCTCTGATCCATCTTTTTCAACACAGAGAATGCAGTTAACGCTTTTGGGGCGATTTCGCCTATTAAAAGGGAACGCAATATATGCATTTTTAACCCATTTCGTCTATTAAGCATAAAGCACCATATGACGTTTCTGACCATTCTGTCAGATATAGACAAACAAAGGGCGCATTCTACATCTATCTTGGCCACTTTGTATTCTACTATTAAACAAAGAACTCAATCTACGGTCTTTTGGACATTTTCGTCTATAAAATAAAAAAACACAATATGTGTCTCTTCGGGTCAATTTGTATGTTAAACAAAGAACACAATCTAAACCTACTCTCCTTAATAAACAACGAACCAAGTCTACGATTATCTTAGGATTAAATTCCTTAATCAGACAAATCAACAATTGGCGCCTTTTGGAAGTCAATTGCACTTTTATAACTTGGGGACCATACGCCGCTTTTCATGGAATGGCACTTACGTGTCACATTGAAGGTTCCAAAATGATAACCGCCGTATGAACACATCTGCGGATGTTTCTAAATTCAAAATTTTACTATTTCACGTTTAAATGTTGAATTCTGCTTAAGCCGGTGCTAGGGGGCGTGGACGGTAATTTGCACTTTCCAGTACCGTCCATGAACAGGCTCAATTAAACCGAGCCTGCAACATTTTCAATTTTGCCGTGTTGGGCTTTCTTTAGGGATTCTGTGTTTATCTATTCATATTAAAGCAATGAACAAAGGTCATGTCTTTCAGATTTAACATTAACACTCAGGAACGATTGCGTTCTTTTTAATCATTTGAGAGGGCAAAAGAGTGTTATAACATTTTAATGATTGTTTTAGACGTGTTAGATGCATACGACCTGACGTAAATAAATGTGCATGTGTCATACAAGAAGTAAAATATAAAATAAAGTAGTATTATGACTTCTGTACACAATACACAACTGTGTTTGTATGTGTTGCTTAAAGGCAACATAAGCAAAAGATAGTTAAAACTATTAAACAATAGGAACTATTTTAAATCTAACAAGGCGCCAAAAATCTTTTGAAAATTTAAAATAAAAGCATATATGCAGCATAATGGGGCTTCTAAACATACTAAGACAGTGTCGTCGACAACGAAATAAACACAGCCTATGCTTTTTGAAATTCACATTATATCTCTTCCCTATATTGCTTCATATATTACGAAATAAATACGCCTGTCAGTGTAAATTCATCTGTTGAAGAATGAATATTATTTACAATTGGTGAGTTCAACTAAATTTTATAGCAATGAACGTACTCATGGCTATGTATATAGGGCAACGACCACAGAAGTAACCACAAAAAGTCTATACCAAACAACTGTAAAACTTACTGACTGACGTAGCGAAATAAGCAGCAAGATCAAACGTTCCATTACTCAAGATTGGAATTGTTAGCACTATTAGAAGTTCTGTGTTCGATGCCCTTTTTCTTCTATTGCCTGTTCCAACGCAGTTTCTGATTTCCACACTTGACACGCAAGCCTCGTTTTCAGTTTCACATCGTTGAGAATTTGTCAGATTCGTCATAATTGCTAATACTGCTTCCACCTTTTCACAAGGTACTGGATTTACGAATGTAAATACCATGGTGGCACTGTATCCCTGGGGGCGTTTGCTTTCTGAAATAAACAGCAGCAATGGTTGTAAGAATCGGAGTGGAAGACAAAGTAAGTCATGGAGAAATGTATCGTAACATTGTGTTAAAACAACTTTTCCATGTTTACAGAGAAAAAAGTCAATGTTATGACGTCAAATTTCAACTCTACATTTCGCGAAAATGATATAATTTTACGAAATTCCTGAAATACTATGGATTTCCTTGTGTATAATGACTAGTTCTTTTATGCACAATGTCTTGTTCCTATTTGTAAAATGTCTGGTTCTTAATAGTTTAATGTCTCGTTTCTATTTGTATAATGTCTGGTTCCTATTTGTTTAATGTTTGGCTCTATTTGTATAAAATTTGACTCTATTTGTTAAATATCTGGTTCCTATTTTTAAAATGTCTGGTTCCTATTTACATAATGTTTGGCTCTATTTTTATAATATTTGTCTCTACATGTGTTTGCATAATGTCAGTTTCCTATTTGTATAATGTCTTGTTTCCATTTTTATAATGTCTTGTACCTTAATGTACAAAGTATGGTTCCTATGTGTATTCTGTCTGGTTCCAATTTCTATAATGTCTGGTTCCGTGTTTGTGTAATGAAATTCAGTAGTAAGTAAGACGAAACTAAAACGTATTTAATCATATGCAATTTATGCATTCAGTTGAATACAAAAAAAATAATAAAAACAACTTTCAAATACTATTAATTAACAATTCAAAAAAATATTTGCTAACAGAAAAATTTAACTGTCTTTCAATTTGAACATTTTTCTTACCAGTGCATATAGGAAGTCTGTTAAATGGCAACCATTCGTAATTTGTTGACATGCCGCATAGAAACATTTGATTGTCCTGCCCTCGTGGCATTACGTAACCTGGAGGACATTTCGCTTCACAAGTATCGTCTTCGATGTCACACGTTTCTACGCTCTCCACTTCTGGTGGCTCACACTCTTTTGTTTAATAAAAAAAGATATATAATCCGTCATCTAACAATAATAAGTTGATCAAGGATCAATGCGTTTACACACAGTCTTCATGTAACTTAGTAAATGTATCAACGCGCAGGTCGCAAAACAGCATTACGTTAGTTTTTGTGAAACGGATCATATTAAATTAAACAATTTTAGGGTCAGTCTAAGACAGGATAAGCCATACAAAATAATCAAAGAAACAAATCAAAGGAAATATGGACAACTAAACAGTTCTAAAAGAATTATCTTAGTCTCAACTAGAAACACCTCAGGTAAAGGCTTCCCAGCTGGTAAGATCAAACGCAGAGGCACACCAGATATGAATAAACATTTTTAACACGGCCATGCCGACACTTACAAATAGTAAAAAAGACAATACTCAAGGAACATAAAGGGGGATGTGGACAAATCAGTACGTAATATTCACTACTGGAGAGTTTAAACAAACACAAAACATCCATCTCTAAAGTATCCATTGTTTTTAAGGAAAACAGGGAAGCAAGAGAAGCACCTACAAAGGCATGACAAAACAAGGCAATTGACGAAAATGATTGCAAGCCAGTCCCAAATAGATTATGAACTTTCCATTATAAAGTTTCATACATGGCAGCAAGTGTTAAACAAAAAGGAACGTTTAGTGTCCAATTGTAAAATAATTGAAGATAAGACCCATACGTATAAAAGAATTGACTTTTGTCTAAATATACGATATGGAGTCGATGCATACATTCATTTTAGATAGAAAGTGAATCCCTCAATGTTGTTTTCTTAAACTAAGTAGTTTGTGTTAAATATGATATTTCAAATAATCGTATGAATAGATAAATATCTGATTTACCAGGACACTTCCCGTTTATACAATCGAACATTTCTGTACTGTTTCCCTCGCAATCATCGCCGTACTGACTCTTGGTTGGATTGTTGCAAAATCTGTACATGAGCTGTGTACCATTACCGCAAGATACTGAACATCCTTCTGCCGCAAACCACTCACTCCATTTTCCATGAACTTTAAAACAATGAAAGGTAATTATACGAAAAGCGCATACGCCGTATAAATGCAAAGAAAATATGTGCATGTTATTTGCAATCTTATGTGATACAAGGGCATTTGCAGTACATCCACGTTGTTCACTAAATACAAACATAAGGTTTCCACGATGTCTAAACATCGTGCCCTAAGCGTTTTTTTGGTGACTCTGCCAGGCTGTTATCCAAATATATGGCGTTTTAAATGTGTGTGCAACTCAATCTTGTTTGGCAATGCCGATCTTCTAAAAAGAGTGGTAAACAATGGTTTTTACGCAACACTTGACATGCTTCTTATAGCATATTTGTTAGGTAACAACATAAAAATGATTAGTATATGTGGCTGCTGCTCCTTACAAAAGGGACAAGAAATACGAAAGAGATGCTGTTTCATTTTAACTTGGCGAGACAACTTTTTTTAATCACTAAATGCCTTTGCTAGAGACAGAAGATTAAATTTTTTCATAATTCCACCAGAATGTTTGAAAAGCTACTTGTAATGTTGCTCAATGAAAATGTGCAGCAAAATGACCCTTTTGCTGCAAACAGAATTCATAATGAACACTAAAATCAGCAAGCCGCATGGTCCCCGTGGAAAAAATGTGCCAAAAATATTCAAAGATTGAAACAAAGTTCAAAAGTTCTATACTATTCAATTGTTCATACCTAGTTCTTCTTCACAAAAAGGACCGCCATATTGTTCAGTACAGTTACACGTGTATCCAACGTCATTAGTGACACAAGCTCCATTATTCTGACATTGATGAGTGCCACAATGATCCACTTCTATGCTGGCGTTACTAGCTATATATAGAAACAATAAATTTGTAAAAGAGATTTATTTATTAAAAGCTTAGTTATAAAATTAAAACTACATACTCCAGAATGATAGGTCATTCCTTTGTAATTCACGTGAAAGAATCCAAAATCCCTGGCGGGATTCCAACACACAGTGTATTTGTTTGATTCTTTCATTATTCAATAGCCGTCAAATACTTATAACACTCATAACTTTATATTTTTTAATTTTTTTTTTATAAATTTTACACAACCCTCGTAGAAGTACAAAGTAGTCGTACGAAGTTATTTGATTTAGCATGTATAGAATATTTAAACAGAATTAGCAAAAAGTGTTTTAAATTGAGTTAAAAAAAAGTATAATTCTTCACCGAACAGAAGCGACTGACATCAATACCGTTAATTAATGTAAGACAATATAGACAGTAGGTCATTCCTGACAGGATGTTTTGAGCCACATATAGATGCTGCCTTTCACGCTGTCTGTTTGCATCTGAGGCTCATACACTTCTATTCTACTCCTCCTCTAAAAGCAACTACATTAAATATCAGCTTACTTCTGTTAAAGATATATGATGCCAGAATAATTTTTGGTTTCATTATCATTACCTCTACAAGTAGATGTAGTGTATTTCATGGCAGGAAGTCTTTTCACGGCAAGATCATCTAGAAAAAAGCTTGCCCCAGCAAGTGAGTTACCACAATCAGCGTACATGTTCGCCATCTCGTCTTCAGCAAATGTCTCATTTGATATACTTAGACCCGAAAGAACTTAATAATAAACATAGATTAATTTTGCATTGCATGTATTATACATGCATTCGATTGCTTACGATAATATAAATTTAAATAACACTGATGCGTTTGTAACCCAGTAGATATGTATTAAATGAATTTAAGACAGTGTCTGTTTCCTTTTTGATTAAAGCTGCATGCCTCCAGATGAGCCAAAACTTTTCAAGAAAATAAAACTGTACTAAATTTTTAAGAAAAGTAAAAAGATTAAAGATTCCGGTAATAATTTATACCTTATGTGAATTAATGACTGTTTTTGGCAGTATTTATCACCATATTTCTACTGCGTTACTAACGCATTAGAGGCTATTATGCATATTTTGACCTCGATTTGGTAATTTACGTTGATTATAAGTGCCGATTGCAATGTGTCAATTACAGTCTTTGTTCATTTCACAATATTTTACTTTTAAATACATTTTCAAAATTTTCATGAAAATTAGGATGAATCTGGAGGCGTGCTGCTTTAAGATGATATCAATAATACGATTTGTCAACGAAAATTAATTAAACACAGATGTTACGATGATGTTATATCGTCACTTGTTTCATTCCTTACTTTTCTATAACTAAATATAATAAATAGATCAAATTAGCGACAATATCTGCACAGAAACAACTTAGCAGCCGTACTTTTACGATTTATTCAAGGAATAATACTCGTAGATACGGTAAGTATCGAGGTTTGTGTAAATTCAAAGATCAACTAAAAGAACATAAGTTATCAATAAAATGCTCTGTTAATGTCTATTTGTAGCAAGCATTTTGTTACATGAAGGGCTTTTCCCTGTGACATCATTACATGTATATCACCACAATGGCGGTTCGCAAACGTGCCTTTTCAGGGCAAGATTCCTTAAATACCTAAAACAATTCTGTTAATTATGACCAGCAATGGAATTTAACATGCTTGTCATGGTATTTTAATTTCCACTAAAATCAGTCGAGTACTTAAATATATAAGTACTTATGTCATCTTTTAAAATATTCACACATGATTAATCAACAATAAGTTCAGTACATTCTCTAAAATAATGAACATACACGTTCCGTTGTTGGCAGACATTTTCAACTTGTCTGCACTATCCATTTGTGACAGATCCATCGTCTTTATTAGTTCTCCATCGCTGTACACACTAACAACATTTGTGTCACCAGAAGAGGCATCCCAAGTAAACCCAAACATCTTCCACGTTCCCGTCTCCATTGTAACCTCCAAGGGTTCATTATCCCTTAATAATATACAATATCATACCTTACATTATTAAGTTCCTACTTAATTTATATGTCTGTGGACCTTTAAATGATATAATTGTCAGCAGCACAACTTCTTTAGTTACTTCTTGAACGAGTACTATTAACATTTTATCAGACCGCTATAATTTAGTTACAAAATAAGAATAATTTAACAAACCTCGCTTTATACAAAGTGTGGTGCAATATACAAAAATATTCATAACACTTCAGACCTCATGGCATTTTACAGATATCCCAGTCAGCAACGAGCATTCAAAGCAACTCAGTCTTCGGATTAGATCCTTTGAATGTATATGGGCTGACTGATCGGTCTGTGTGCCATTTCTTATATTAGTTTACCTGCAAGTCCTCCCAAAAGAACCAACAAAAGGCTTTCTTGACTTACTAATAGAGCGGTCTGTATGGAATGCAATGGATATGAGGGACTCATTAGTATGATCTATTACTTAAATATCATAAATCAGATTTCCTGAGTAAATTCCACTGACATCACGAGTATTAAAAATCCAGTGGCAGAACGTTCATTTATTTTTTGTAATTCATGTCTAAATAATATTTTACCATCCATCTATTATTTGTGGGCTTTCTGACACGTCGAGCTGAAAGACAGGATCGTCGTTTGCATTGTATATTCCAAATGTAAGTTGTGTTGCGTAGTAATACTTCATCCAGAAAACAACACTTGCTTTTGTGTCAATTTTAATAAGGTTAATGTCAGTCACAAACGCATCAAAATAGAGATCGTAATCTGAAATAATAATGTTGGCTTGAACTTGTGTTAAGAAATTATCATTGTTTTGTATGTTTACTTGCGACGGCTTTTGATTTTGACAATATTTCACACAAATATTAATATGTCATTTTTAATATTAATGGTGTATCACCGCACAAGCGTCAATTGGTCAATGTATGTGCTTGAATAGTAAAACGTCATTTAATATACAAACAAACAGAACAAACGAGAATACTTTCTTACCAACACAATCTTGTTCAGAATCACTTCTTTCCCCAGTGGTCCACGTGTTTGTCTGGCATTTAATACATGTGTTCTGTTCCCAATCCGATTGATACGTGCCTGTTCGACAACATGCACACGGTTCTAAACCAGAACTTGAATAACTTCCAGGAGAACACATTTCTTAAGATAGAAAAACAATATTTGCAAATGAAGGTTATAAGTCAGTTTACGAAAATATTACAACTATATAACAAGATACGATTTTGAAGTCGATATAAAATTTGTTTTTTCATGTTAGCAAGTCCGGCGATCCACTGTCTTTTCTCGAAAGTAACATCATAACAAACCAGTAAAGCATACTTTCTTGTGTTCCAAAATCAGGATAAACATACCCGATAGCATTCATCTGATAATCTGGGCATCTTTCATATGAATAAAACGGAAACATTCTGTAGACTGATCAATTTCTGTCCCATCAATATACATTTCTTTTTATTTTAAATAAGGGAAAGATATTTTATTTTCTATCAGATAAAATTTAGTAAAAATATTTTTATAAAATAAAGTACAGAAAAGACTTTTCTCTACTGCATATGGTACAGAAAATATTCTTCTATCAAAAAGTTTGATTTTTTAGATAAAGTACAGAAACAGGCAATAAAGCAGGAGACATTACTTTGGACTGTGAATTTATCATTTGTAGTCTTAAAATAATGTCCGAACATTCACGAAGATGAAGAGAATACTTGATGGCTGATTATTATCTTAACTATTGGGTTATTGTTGCATAGAAAAAATAGACTATGAATAATATCGAATGTGATTAATAAAGACTAAATAATCGCAAATACCTGTGCATTCTTTTGAACTCTTGCTTAGAGTTGAACTTCCTGATGGACATTTGGTACAGCTTATACTTCCGGTGCTGTTACTATAAAAACCCACAGGACAAGACGCGCAAGCATCCGTTTCAGTGGAATAGAAATATCCCTCAGAGCATCGGGCTTTTTAAAACAAAACAATAAGAATTGTAAGTATGTTATAATATTTCATCATACTTTGTTGAGTACATTACTGAATTCTTCCGGATATGAAAATACTTGAAGCTAAAAAACACAAATCGTGCGAAGCGATAGATGGTCACTGTTTTTTGTTGTTTTGTTTTAATGTATATTTCGAGTACATTGCCTGAAAAAATGAAGGGGAGATCACTGCGTTTGGATTGTTATTTAGCAACAAGTCATGGAAATAACAGATTGAAGAGAATAATATTAACGAAAAGTGGCTTACAACAGTATGATCCAACAAGAACAGCTCCTGGCGGACATTGAGGGAAGACCACATGTGGAGCATGAAGCCATCGTCTTGCTAAGAGAACATTTGATCCAAGTACACCGTCCACCTCAACGCTGTTTATTATTGAACTTTCTAGCGACGATGTCTCGTTCTTTAGCAGATCACAAGATGCCTCTAGCGGGAAACCTGTTTGGGAAATGTTCAAATTATTCATTAATTCCTTTCGTTAACTAGTTTGTAACTTTCCTGTCTTAAATATATCAAAGTGTACGTTCAAATTATCTGGAACAAAAAAATCTATGAGGTATGCCGCTTACAAAAAGAGTATACATAACGATATGTGCTATGAATGTAAATAACACATTAATATGCAAATCAATCAGACATCAGCTACATTTTATTCCTATTTACTTTGCGGGAAAATATATAGGCATGCAAACCTAAACAAATGACATACATAATGAGATCCACTAACGTAAAACACATTGCGGTGGGTGTATGTCATTCCGCATCCCATTTGACATGAGTTATTTTACTTTTGTAGAGGTCTATTTAAAGGAACCGCTAATGCTACATGCTAATTATCTAATATTTAAGCCATGTCGCATTTTGACCTCTTGTGATGAAACGCAAAAATTTGAACAACTTTGGTAGAACTGCATGCATGGAACTTTTTATTACATTTTACCATGTAGATTCAGGGGAAACGTCAATTAAAACAGTTAAAACTTACATACCAATTTAGTTAAAGGGGCAAATAATGTCAGCTAAAGTAATTATTGATTGTCTTAATTCCAAACGTTTTAGTTTCTTACTGGTAGCTTCTCCTTCGCATGTAACGGATATTGCAAAATCTACAGTCACTGTTTGTTCTATGTCACTACACTCGGGTGCGTTCGATTCACTAATCGCACACATGTATCCCATCATGCACGCAGTATATGACGTCATTTCCTGTGCCATTATATCGAGCAAGTTTTCCACGAATGTGTCCGTGTCCTCGGTACTACAAGTGTTGTTTATTTGGTACTTCAGGCGAAATGTATACTCTGTGTTTTTCTCCTCGCCAGTCTCTACAAGAGAGTACATTTGAGAGATTACAAAGCATTCCACCATCAAGGAAAATCTGTTGTCTGCTCTGCATAAGGAATAAAATTAAATTTTATACCTTTTAATCTACAAATGAATTATTGCATTTATTTACATAACAACAGCCTATTAATGCCGTTAGACTCTTAACAGAGGGTATCTGAAAATCAAACACGTCTTAGTTTAGTGTATAATCAAACAAATTTACAACAATATCATTAACGTCAAGTGGAGTCCGGGGAAAAAAATTCGAAAAAACTTTAAGTACATGTTTGAAAAAAATGCATTTTGACATCAAAACAAACATACGATAAACGATAGCAAATGCTCTTCATTAATACCTGGATACACAAATCTATTCCTAAAACAGGAGACAAAAGGTAAATAAAGTTTCCTTTTAAAAGGAAAGGCTTGCACAGTTGTGCCTTCATCCCAACCCTTTAAAATTGTTCTTTTTTGGGGGGTTTCAATTTATTATCACATTTTTTGTTTGTTTATTTAGTTGTTTTTTTTCCTTGGAAAACCGAATATTTTTTTGTCAAAACGATTTAGATCTATTCTCTATTGTATAAAACTAATAAAGAAAATGATCAATCGTAAAAATATTAACGTGATACTGAAGGAAAACAAGTGTGCACATCTCATTTCCCCTTTTTCGCAGCGAAATCATTCCTTTGCTTTATAGACAAGTAAATGCACTAAAATACTTCGTTACGTGGTACCAATTAATAAGCATGTATCAACTGAACTATGATACATAGATCAGCACGTGGCAAGGTTAATGATATGCATGGGCTATTTTTAGAGTACCTCACCAAGAAGTTGAATTGCGTTCAGTAGATCTAAATATAACTCGATCATGCGTGATTTGGTAAGCAGGACGGAATAATACTACAGGCACCATTCTCTATTGTATAAAACTAATACAGACAAAAAAAACAATTATAAAAGAAACTAACTTTTGCGTCTTGAAAAACAAATTAAACGGAACAATTTCGTTTATAATTTATTACGGTTTAAACCGATAAATCAAGTAAAAATAGAAATCCTTTTTATATACACAAACTGGGATTACCGAAGTAACTAAAATAGCTTAGATTTCCGTAATATTACTCCGCAGTATGACGGAATCGCCCGAATTGTCACGATTGCAATCGTAACTACATCGGCTATTATCATTAATCCGAAGTCTGACGGAAAAGGCCGAAAAGTTGCGATTGGCACAATTGCAGCTGGTTTCCCGTTCAATCATGCACCAACAGATGTAAGCAGGAAACCGCCTAACCGGAACAAGTTTTCCAGATGAAATGGCTTGCAGCCGTTGCTGCAAGCCAAAAAGCCAGGATAGCTTTCAATGAACTCTGGATAACATTTAGAACTAAATGTTTCTTTTATTGCCAGAAATAAAATAGTAAGGAAACAAGATCTGCCATTTGAAACAAATAAAAGACCCAAGGAAGAGCCCAGTTGGTGCACAATGACTTTTGATTCACAAACTAAGGCATGGTTTCTACAAAAAGAGTATTACAAAAAAGAAACCTTAAGAAAAACTTTATTCTTTTCGCAGTGTTTCCAATGGCAAATACAAAATGTATAATATGACCAGTCACAAACATCCGTGTACTATTTTGACAAAGTATAACCTTCGCCTTTCTAGTTGTCTACTTGCATTTACGCGTAGCAATGTATCTTAATACAAAAAATGTATGTCATTCAATTATCCCTGCTTATTTAAAAAACCATTTAACAGAATCAATATCCAAACGAGACCAAAATATACTTTTATGAAGTCTTACTGTTACCTGACCTATCATATCAAGACTTTTGACATTCAAATTGCAAGTAGTTCTTGAACTTTGAGCTGACGATATGGATGGATTTTTTTCTCAATCAGCAGCATACTTTTGCGCATTAAATAAATCCACGGATAACAGTTACGCACAAAGTATACCATTTATTCACCATCATTGGCTGCATTATTGTTCGTAAAAGACCATCAATGCACTTTTAAAGATAATAATTGGATGTTTGATCTTGACATTCAAGCTTGGGACCTGATAATTGCGAACGCCACGCCGTCATCATGTCCATCGTATGAACATGAACACCAAGGAACGACAGAACTGTTGACCGGTACGCTTTTATGAGATATTTAGGTCATAAATTGAAGTGAAAATGCAACCTAGGCCTTTAAGCTGGAGGCCTGATTCTTGTGTCCGACCCGTCGGCATCATGTATTTCACACGTAAGTCAAGTGTTTAAAATCAATTCAGAAATGACAGAATTGTTTGCCGGACATGTGCATTAAATGCACTTTAATGATTTCTTTTTTAGCTACAGACTTTGGTTTTACGAGTGACACATTTTAGATAAAACTACATGTACTTCAAAATTAATTTGTAAATTACAAAGCTATGGACTGGGCACAAATTGTAAACAGACGAGGAACGAGGGTACATGTACCAGCATCATTTGGGATGTATGTGCGTTTTTGTTGATCTTTATGTGGCATTGCAGAATATAAACTAAAGAAAATTCCCACCTAATTTGAAGGTTTGGCTGGTTTTCTTCTTTTTTAACTAAGATTATTGAGGCAACAAAGCTCCTTACTTATAAGACGAAGACGGACGGACTCTACAAAACAATATACCACCGACTATTTTGGGTTGGTATTAAAACACAACCAGTCGTAGGACTGCCCTCTAACATACCGACACACTGTGTTGGAAAGTCGTCTGATTCCCACACACCCTCATCACTGCATTTGTACACGCTGTCCGTTTTATATGGCAGCATATAACTTTCGTTACACGTAAACACGCATGTAATTCCAGTGTCCACAGTTGTGTTACCAGCTGTATCGTTTTCAAAGTCTGTAGTTCCTGTTAAACACTCTACAATACCATTTGTTGGTGGTTCCGGCTCAGCACATAGCTCGGCTAGAATACAAAATAAGATGCAATAACGTATTTCTTAATGAGAATAAAACTTTGTTTCAGCAAATAATAACAATGGTAATCGAGTCGCTGACCTCGAGAAATGGTATAGCAATTTTCATAGGATCATAGAAAAAATTGTTCTTTTAGAGTTTCACCAAACTCTAAACTGCATTTGAGGAAAACGTTTGATTTTATAAAAAAATTGTTAGAATCGCTGTGGCTTTTGTGACGTAGATCGAAACGATATTTTGCAAAATATTTCCTATTATATTGAGTTTTATGAAAATTTACCATATTCATGTTAGCAAAGTCTTTCATGTTGAGTTTCATCAAAGTCCCTACGAAGCTCTTAAGAACAATTTCTTTTTATCAAATCTATGACGAGCTCTTGCGGACATCCTGTACCGCAAAATGGTTCTATTTGAGCATTTAAAACGTCAGAGGATCATGTGTAGCTATTAGGCAGAGATGTCAAAATGTTCTGAAAATAGCCATCCCTTTTTCGAGACAAATTAAGGTTAGTTAACATGAAAAGAAACTTTTTTTCTTTGTGAATTACAAATGAGCCGTGTCACGACAAAACCAACATAATGGGTTTGCGACCAGCATGGATCCAGACCAGCCTGCGCATCCGCACAGTCTGATCAGGATCCATACTGTTCGCTTTTAGACATTTTAACAAGTAGAGAAACTGATAGCGAACAGAATGAAACCTGATCAGACTACACGGATGCGCAGGCTAATCTGGATCCATGCTGGTCGCATACGCACTATGTTGGTTTTGTCGTGACGCGGCTCAAATATTAAAATCATCCTCGTTCTGAATTAAGCGGCACCCTACCTTCAGTACAATTAGGCGTATCAATAAAATCCCAGTACATTTGAAGTGTCGATACGTTTTGTTTGCATGTAGCGTTAGCTGTGCCATCAAACACCAGGTTGTCAATGCACGACAATGTGCACATACTCCCAAGTTCAAAACTCTCACACGCAGCAGTGACATTTTCATTTTCAATGAATGGAACTATGTCGTCACACTTGTAAACTTTGAAAAAGAAACATTGTAATTGCAATATTATACCATTCATTATGTTACATTGGATAGATTAAATGTCACGAGATACGAAGAAACACATTATTGCTTCAGTAAGAAAAATATCAACGATCATGTTAAAGTATTTAAAGCATAATATCAATATTCTAATAATACTACCCTGTTGTTTATTTTATGTAAATTCAAACATTCTATTCTGATAACCTCGCTGGATATGTGCAATTATATGACAATATATGCATAGAGATACATCAGTTTACTAGTATACCTATCATTTATTATATGCTCAATCTACTTTTAGTATTTAGCTGTTAGGACCGTTCAAATAACCAACGGAGAATCCTGTCAACTTCAATGATATCAGTTATACCTTCTAACATATTTTCATTTTCTTTAATAGCTCAATTACATCCAACAACGGACCGCCTCTCGACGGAAGATTCAAACTTAGGAATATTCAAACTCAGACATATTAAACATTTGCATTTGACATAATGTTGGATAATTTATTAAACATGTGTATGTTAAATGTTATTACCATTTACGTTGATGACCATTTTACAATCAGGTGCCATGTTTCCAGTTTCGTCTTCAGCTCGATAGGTGGCGATATATTGACCTACTGCAAGATTACTTCCGGGTGATGGACCAGAAACCTTGTAAATTGTCACATTTCCGCTATTATCACTGACCTCTGGTTCCGACCACGTGACAAGACCGGACGTTTGTCCAACATTTAGAAATTGGGTAACTACAGGTATGCATTTCATTTCCGGTGAATGAATATCTGCAATAATTACAAACATTCTGTCATTTTTTTAATTTGTCTTTCTTTCTAACAAAAAACAGTCTCACAAATCTAATTGAACATAAAGCATTTTTGTTTTCATTGAACAATTACAATATCAAACTTTTACACATATTTTATGCTAAATTATCATGGTTATCACATGTACTTTCTTTATGCGGGCATGTCCAACTTACCGAGACAATAAGGCTCTCCTGGTATTGCCCACTGTCCAGATGCGTTACAAATGGCATAGGATGACACAATAATGTTCGTGAGACTGGAATATGCATTCTGGTTATTAAAGTTGGCAATTGCAAGAGATACATCGATAGCCGTTTGTTCTTGAATCGCTTTTTTCTCGTCTGCTATCACTTGAGCGTTTTCTGCGTCAACTAACACCTGGTCAGCAGCTTGTCTTGCCGTTATAGAAGCATTAAGGGCAATCGCTAAGTTGACAGATAAGGTGTCTAGATTCAATTGAAGGTCTGCAATTTGTCCCTCAAGATTAACAAGTGTTTGGTTGAGGGCAATAACTTCGTCGAGTAAGTCGTCAGCGTTCTCTGCACTTGTTTCCATTGCCGTCTCATATTCCTGCTGCTTATTTGCTAGTGATTGTTCAGTTTCCTGTAATGTCTTCTTAACCTCATTTAATTCAAGTACTGCAGTTTGTACAGATGCTTCCAAAGAAAGGGTATGGTTTTCAGCAACAGTTGCGTTGTATTCTAACTCGGCTGCAAGTTCGTCTAGGTCATCAGCTAATTCCTGTGCTTTGTTTGATTCCGACCTGAAACAAATAGAATTGCAGATGTATTTGAACGTTTTATATGACAGATTTGGGTGTGTCAATTGCTAACGGTGTTAAATTTGGAAAAGGATTTGGTTTCTTGAGTGTATACCATTCAATATTACAAGGTCTAGTTTCACAGTATTATGCCAACAATCACTTAAGAAAGAATGTTCACATGTTTTGAGCGTTTAACTATATCAAAAAGGAGATTTTTTGACGTCATTTGATTTTTTAACGTCATATCTGTAAAACAGTGTGCTCCGTTCTTACGAGACAATTGAATAAAGAAAGCAGCAAAAAAGAAGAACAGGACTCATTACTGGTTGCCACAAAAATATACAGAGCTTAATTAAATCTAATAATGTTTGAAGCAGCAGGTAAGATCAGTTTTTCTTTAAAGGGCGCCTATAGGCAAGATTACATTTAGCACGCGTCTTATAATTTTAACTCTATTGTTTGTATATAAGCGCAGATATGACAACAACCATCTTTACAGTGTCGAAAATGCGACACGAGTGATATATACATGTTAGTGCGGACATATCAGCACCTTTTGAGCAGAATACTATAATTATGTTCATCGACAATGTCTCAAAATTGAATTTATTAAGCAGCAGTCATAAAAATAAAAACAGCTGCCAGCTGCCAAACTTTGAACACAAATTATTAACCAGAACTTGTTTATTATGGAATAATAATAGTTTTATACAAATGTCAAAAGAATCAAAAGTGGATAGTAGATGAAAAATGGCGTCAAACAAATGGTCGGCATATGACGTAAGAACAAAAAATGATGGAATAAAAAGGGGGAATTAAGAAAATAAAAATCAAAAGACAATCGGAACCACAGGGACCCAGCACAGTGTTGGGATAGTGTAAAAAGGTAATTAAAAAAATGTTTACTGTATATAGTCTATATATTATATTTACAGTATATTTTTTTTTTTTTTTAGAATTACATTTTTTACACTAGCCCAACATTGTGCTGGGTCCCTGTGATCGGAACCCGTCGCATATAAACTGATATATGACGGAAGCGAACAAAAAGATGCATATTTATATCATTGTAGTACTTACAGAGCTTGCCCGCTTAAATCTATCAAGCTACTAACAATGTCGTTCAGATTTTGTATGGTGTCGGCTAATAGAAATATCTTTTTTTCAGAAGATAATCATTAGGACACTGCATCCAACATACACTGCCGAATTGTGTAAAAGTTGTGTCTGTATCATTGTCCTCTCTATTCATATCACAAATTATTTCAACATCAGTGTCGTTAACAACGATGGGGATCCTCACATACAACAGCTAAAAAAAATTTATTTTACTTTAAAACAATGAGATATGGTTTAAAAAAGAAATAAACGCTTAAACGGTACCCAATTTGGCTTTTTATAAATTCCTTTCTTTTTACAGTTGAAGTGCACCCCTTTCCTTCAAACCGTCAGGGAATCGGATTACTTTAGGCAGGGGTTTTGGGGTTTTTTGTTTTGTTTTTGGGTTTTTACGTTGAACCAGCACGGTATAGGTAAAAACGGCCCGTTTTACAGATTTTTTTTGGGTAGAGGAAAACCTCGGATGGTCCCTCTGCGCAGAAATTTCGGGAACCCCAAACGGATACCTGACCCAAAACCCCGCCCGTAAAAAAAAACAACTAAATAGCTTTCTCAAAAAGGAAAAACCCAAAGGGACGTAAGAAAGGCTAAAAACCTACCGGGGGAAAGGAAAAGGGGTTTTTAAAGGGTAAAGGGCCCTTAACCCTTAACCCTAACTTCCCTATGGGATTTCACAGGGGGTTTTTGGGTAAAACAAAAACCCCAAAATAGTCGTGTTCCCAAAAGCTGGTTTTTAACTGGGGGTTTTAAATGAAAAGCCCGTCAACACCCGGGGGGAAAAGGGAAAAGGGGATAATTGATTTAAACTTATTTCATTACAACAATGGTAAAAAGGCTCGTCCTTCGGAGAAAGTTAATTGGCGATTCCTCACTTAACTCCACAAGCATTTCGATTTGAACATATCGGTAGCAAGTTTTGTGATAACACAAAAATCATCGATGATCAACTAGTACTAGATGTTGCCATGGAGATAATAGATAAGTTGCACTTGTTTATCACTCTGATAAATTATGCGTCAATACTTTTTATGATAAAATATAGCATACCGTACGATATATTTATGTAATGAGTATATATGCTAAGAATATTTACAAGTGCACTGTGGTACTTCGTCACCATAGGACCACGTGCCATTTTCTTGACACTCTGCACTCTGAGTCCCATTCAGAACGTAACCATTGTTACAGAAGAAAGAACAAGTACTGTATCTGCTGTTTTCATTCGTGCAGCTGGATATGCATTCTTAAATTGACGATAGGAAAAATCACATTGTTGGAAAAACTGAAAGCGAATCAAAACTGGTTTCCCAATACCGGAACGAATTATAGCAAAAAGGGGTTTAAAGGGCAATTCTTTGTTTGTGTGCAAAACCGTCACTTATTAAATGTAACATTGTATTTAAAATTTGGTACATTTTAATCATTTCCTTATTAAGTTATTAGTTATTATAAAAAGGTAAAAAGCAAAAATTAAGACCCAAAACGACTGAAAAAAAATTTTTGAATTTATATGTTTGCTTTTTACCTTTTTGGGAAGATTGTAAAAAAGCCCCCTGAATTTGACAAACTTATCTTTTAGTTTTTTTTGGGATCATTTTCCTTTAATATAATATATAACAAAATTTGTACAAAAAACTTTTTTTTTAAAAGTTTGATGTTTTCCAGGGGGCCCAAATTTTTTAAAAATCAAAAAAAAGGGGGGCCAAAAATCTATTCCTTTTTTGTTGAAAAAAATTAAATCTGTTTATGGATCGCATATGTAAAAAAAAAAAAAAAATCAATCCCTTTCATAAAAATTTTTTTTGCCCTCCCTTCCCGAAGCAAAAAAGCATAGGGTTCCTTGTTTTAAGGGATTGGTTTTGTCATCCACATTTACAATACGGGTTTTTGGTTTTTTAAAAAATTTTAAAATAAACTAACCCATTTTAAATTTATTTAAACATTGGAAATTTGAGCACGTCCACAATAAATTTTCCCCGGTCCGTTTGTTTAGGTATTGAAATCAGTGACTTTTTTTTTTGGCAACGGGGTGCCTTCAAATGTAGAATTGGTTTCCGGGCCAAAAATTTGAAACCCCCTAGAGTAATGAATAAAAAAACGGCTGTAAAAAGATTCATTTTTATTTTTAAATAAAAAAAACTTTTAATATTACCCGGGGGGTTTTTGAAATTAAAGTCTTAAAATGTGCACTTGTTAATCAATGAGAAAGTCAACAGTTCTATTTTAAAAATTTAATGGGCCTTAAATATAAAAACCTTTCCCCGTTACGCACTGATTTCCGGGATCTCGCTCAAATATTCGAATTTTTTACCAAAGGGACCTGTATTTTTTCAATGCCCCCCGTGTTTAAAAAAAAAAGTTTGGGGAATTTTGGCCCTTCCTGCAAAAATCCCCCAAATTGATAATAAAAATATTTTTGTTGTAATTTAAGGTTTTTTCCCAAAACCCTTTGGGTAAATTATATATGTGAAATATAATCTTTAAAACAATTTTTCAAAACACCCGAAAAATTTTGAAAAATTTTATGAAATTTGCAAAATTTTGAACATATTATTTTTAAAATCATTAAAACATAGGGCATTAAATTTCTTTTTGAAAAATTGATTTTTAGACTTTAAGAAAATAAATTTTTATTACCTCCCTTTTTTTAAATGAACTTTTAAAATTTCCGGTAAAAATTCTTTTATAAATAATCCTTTTTAAAAACAAAAAATAAAAAAAAATCTTATTTTCAAATTTATAAAATAAAAACCCAAAAACATTTTTTTAAGAACCCTTTAAAAAGAAAAATTAGTTCCTTTCCTGTTTAAACGGCGGTTTTGTTTTCTTGTCTTTCGTGTCTCTAGCAAGGCACCCCAAAAACGGCGGGGTTTTTTCGTTTGTCGCCCTGTCGCGGGGGCGCCCTTCCCCTTGGCTTAAAACCCCACCTTCGTTTGAACCGAGCAAAAAATGTTGCATTCGCGAAAAAAACAGCACCGAAACGAAAAAAGCCCCGGGTTTGGGGCGTACATTGTTAGCGACAGGCCCGCCCAAGACAAAAAGTCCCCCGGAACGCACCTTTTTGGTGCTTTGTTTTTGTTGTCGCTAGCGAAAACACACGCAAAAAAGGGCTTTTCCAAATCACCAAAACCCATCCTAGTTCACGTGATTCTTGCAACTTTAAAAGGGTTGGAATAAATATTTTTTAAATTTCCCGTGTATTTGGGGCCAAAGTTTTGTTTTATTGATTTCCCAAACCCTGCATTACTTAAAAATTTTAAAAACAGTCTTTCGGTCAACCTTTCGAAATGTGATACTAGGCTTCGTAAAACTTTGTAAATTCATCTTCGTTTTAATATTGGGGGCGATACGGTAAAAAAAAAAATAAAAAAGCTACATTCAAAATGTTAAAAAACCATATTTTTGAAAACATTTACCCCTTTCCGACCCCTTAAAATTTTTTGCGCGCTACATTGCCCGTTTAAGGGAAACCCACAACCCCAAATTTTTCCCGGGGCCTTTTCTTTTTTTGGGCCGTCTTGTTTGTTTAGCGAAAAAAAAATTTGACAAGACGACGGGGCGAAAACCCGGGGCCTTTTTTGGAGTTTTGTAGTTTTGTCCCCAATGGGAAAAAGGTGTAACAAAATCGGCCATAAATCCCGGGGCGGCCCCAAATTTTTAAAAAAAATGGTTTAAAATTTAACAAAAGGTAATATTCCCACCCGTGTCCTGCTGCTTGAGGACTGTCCCATGTGTGCTGAACATTCGTCTCGTTTCCGTATTCGTTGCCGACAGGATATAGCGTAACCGACGACGGACAAAACTCAAAATAAGGCACTGATTGGCCGGCTTGTTCTGTGAGTATACATAAAATAGTTTGATTATCATAATTAATATAAAGATAAAATATATAATGTCATTTCATAATTTTTCCGGTTTGTTTATGTACTATCTTGTGTAACTATTCTTTAATTGATTATAGTAAAATTGATGAATATAAAGATGATGATGATGATGATGGTTGTGGTAGTGATGGTAATGATGATTATGACGACGACGAAAATGATGATGGTGTTGTTGGTGGGATGATGATTATATGATGGTTGACGAAGATTTTGACGACGATAATGATTATGATGATGATGACGACGATGATGATGATGACGTCGATACGTTCAATATTGTTTCTGGTAGTGGTGATATTTATGGTGATGGTGATAACGATGGTGATGATGATGATGATGATGTTGTTGTTGTTGATGATGATGATGATGCTGATGCTGTTTCTGGTGGCGGTGATTATGATGATGATGATGATGATGATGATAATGATTATGAACATGATGATGACGACGGTGATAAAAATGACGATGATGACGATGTTGTGCCTGGTGATGGTGGTGATGATGACGATGACGACGACGATGATGACGACGACGATGATGATGACAACGACTACGACATCTGAAAAAGAAATATAATCTGCATTTCTTCACTGACAAATGGGTATCTGAGAAAGAATAGTTATCATATTTTTTCGTGGTATATACTACTCATATAGGCGTTATAGATATTTTGTTGAAAATCGCCTACAATCAACAATCTCGTACTTCTCTCGTAACGTGTAAGAAAACACACACACACACACAATCATTTGACAAAACTATGACAAGACCAACATAGTGCATTTGCGACCAGCATGGATCCAAACCAGCCTGCGCATCCGCGCAGTCTGATCAGGATCCATGATGTTCGCTTACCAACCCTATAACAAGTAGAGAAACTTCGTTATTGCGAATATCATGGATCCTGATCAGACTGCGCGTGTGCGCAGGCTGGTCTGGATCCATGCTGGTCGCAAACGCACTATGGTGGTTTTGTCATGACGCGGCTCATTCGTTGAACTAAGAAACTTTATCAGATAACGGTCATGAAAGGTCGCATCACCGGAAGTTTAATTAATATTGCCGGGAAAGGACGGAAACTTTACCACATAATAAAGAAACTTTACCGGAAGTTTTCCTGACACAGAATCTTTCACAAGTTGTGTTAGTTGTGTTTTTGTATACTTCGGCAATACTTCTATGGAACCGTCCTGAAACAATTTAATTGTTCAACCGGAAAATCATCAATGATAAAATGTTATTCAATCTTATAAATACGTTACACAATTTATTTTGGCATTCTTTTTATATTTTTAACTGATAAGTATTTTGTCTGTTCTTTTGTTTAAACTCTATTTTGTAAGTATACATATACTTTACAAAGCATATAAACACTGAGAACGTTACCTCAAAAATTAAGCGACGAAATAAAAATAAAAAAGAATTGATTTATAATAAATGATATATTAATATGAAATTAGGCAAAGCCTATGAGCGGGGAAGTCGTTTTTAAAATTTATTTCCCAATTCTTTCCGTTTTAAAAAAGGTTCATTCCCGGTATTTCATGCCATCGCTCCGCAATCGCAACTACTCGGGGCCTTTTCCGTCAGTCTTCGGTTAATATTATAGATAATAGCCGTGGCAGTTCCGAATTTGTCGCTTCCGTTTCACTCCGAACTACTTCGGCGATTATTGATAATTCCGAACAAGTTTGGATTTGTTCCGTTATCGGAATACCACGCCTATTAAATCATTGAGTAAGATTGTAAATGGCGGCGCCCGACTAGAACTGACACTGAAAATTTCATTGAATAGGTATTAAAAATTCCTTATATATTTTTGAATTTTTTTTTTTTATTTGATTTTCTTTTTAAATAAAACCGTGTAAATCTATAGCCGGGGAATCCCAAAACCCCCACCCGCTTCGCGGGCCCGGCTTTGGGTTCCCCGTAATAATTTATTTTTCCCAAAAAATTGTGAATTAAACTTTAAACTTATAAAAAAGCTGTATAAAAAAAAAGAATTTTTTTTTTTTTCCAAAAGCCCTTTTTTTAATTTTTTTATTCCTTTTTGAATTTTTAAAACAAAGGGGCCCCTGATGGGCCCCTTAAAAACGCTTGCCCCGAAATCAAAATATTGCGAAATTTTCTTAATACTTTTAACATTTACCTGTTTTTAAAGACACCCCTTTCCGTTTTTACAGGTAATTTTGACAATCTTCCCTTGTAAAAAAGACTGACAAAAAGGGTTTAAAACTGGTAAATTTTCCCGCCTTTATTTTAAATTTCCCGTCACACCAGTCTATTGCTTTTCCGGAAGTACGTCCGATTTCCGGCAGCCATCTTTGGGGCCATATTTTCGAAAATGAAA